ATCTTTCTATCATAAATGTGTGAAATGACCTGCATTCTATACCTGCCATCCCTTTCCTCCTCTGAAGGACAGGTCAGCCCTTTTTTCCATTTTTTCCATTCATGTCTCTCTCTCCATCTGTGCGCTACCTCATTTCTCTACCTGCTGACAACTTCTATGCCAGTATGCTGCAACCTTTGTTATATCATAGCACATCTCAAAAAATGGCACCATTTGTACAATGTACCAGAGTAGGGGATTGATGTTGGGCGTTGCCTAAAACCTCCATTACAATATGGCGCCTGGCGGATGTTCGAAGGGTGTGTCTGTGACTGCTGCAGTTAAGCTACATAAGATCAGACCACCAGCAGGGATAGGTCCGCTTTGGTTCTGGACTCTTTGACAGAGCGTGATCCCTATACTTTGCATGGTCCACCTGTGCATGGTCCACCCACACCTGCATGACCTTTTTGCTGATTGGCTCCCCTACTGCGCATGTCTTTTGTAAGCCTTATAAGCCCGCACACTTCCTCAATAAAGTAGTTTCCGCTTTGACAGAACTCACGGGTGCTTGCTGCAGTGTGCTTGACCCGTCGACCTGACCTCTCCTGTTCACCTTGTCAGGGAGTGCTTGTACTGTCCCCTGCTGGTCAGGGGCCAGTCTCAGGCTTAAGACCCCAACAGATTGAGGAGTTGTATAGAATGCCATGGTTTGAGTGTGTGTCCTCACAAAATTCAAGTATTGGAAATCTAATCCTCAAAGTCATGTGTTAATGAAACTTTGAGATGGGACCTGCAGGAGGTGACTGAGTCATGAGGGTAGATCAATGTGTGGATTAATGGACTCATGGGTAATCGCAGGAATGGCTGTGTTATAAAAGTGAGCTCTCTGTGGCAAGCTGGTTCCATCCCACAATGCAATAGATTTGCTGCCTCAGGCTCAGAGAAGGGGCCGGTGCCATGGCGCACTAGGTTAATCCTCCACCTGTGGCACTGGCATCCCATATGGGCACCATCCTGGTTGCTCCTTTTCCAGTCCAGCTCTCTGCCGTGGCCTGGGAAAGCAGTGGAGGATGGCCCAAGTGCTTGGGCTCCTGCACCCACATGGGAGACCGGATCGGTGCAATTCTGGCCGTTGTGGCCACTTGGGGAGTGAACCAACAGAAGGAAGACCTCTCTCTCTCTCTCTCCCTCTCTCTCTCTGTGTCTCTGCCTGTCAAATAAATAAAAATAAAATCATTAAAAAAACAAAAGACTCAGAGAACTTTCCACAAGCAATAAAGCCCTCCCCAGGTGCTGCCCCCTGGCTTTTGCAGCCTTGAGAACGTGAGAACTAAATTTTCTTTTCTTACAAATTACCCCGTTCCAGGTATTCCGTTTCAGCCGTAAAAAATGGACTAAAACATATAGCACACACACACACACACACACGTACACACAGGGGTACTTAAAACACTGTGGAAATTCAATTAAATGGTTCAGTCCCCAAATGGCTGCAATGGCTAGGGCTGGGCGAGACCAAAGCCAGGAGGCAGGAGCTTCTTCCGGGTTTCCCGCAAGGGTGCAAGGGCTCAAGTACTTGGCCATCCTCTGCTGACTTCCCAGGTGCATTAGCATGGAGTTGGATCGGAAGTGGAGCAGTCAGGACTTGAACTGGTGCCCACATGGGATGCTGGCATTGCAAGTGGCAGTTTTACCTGTTGTGCTACAGCGCTGGCACCGACATTTTCTTTTCTAGTTGTCCTAAGAGGACATGAAGATAGTTGCTTATGAAGCAGGCAACTGGTCCACAGCCTACCCCAAAGGCTGAGTGAGTGGATCAATAGTTTGTGGCAAACTTAAAATACATATATGAGAGTACTGGTTGAGAAATATACCTTGCGCTATTAATCATCCCTTTTTCTTCTGTATTTCAACTCTTCTCTCTACTGCTTCTTTATCTTTGCTAATTACATTTAAGTAGCTACGGCATTAAAAAATAAACAAAACTAACCTTCATTCATTCCTTGCTTTCTCCTCTAGATGAACTTCTGGAAAAAGTACCCTATCCTTTTCTCCACGTGATTCCCAATCATTCTGTTCTGTTTCCATTGTATTCTACATGTTAATCAAAGTACACTTGTAAATGATACAAATAACTTCTTTTAAAAAAGATTTATTTTTTTGAGAGGTAGAGTTAGAGAGAGAGCGCGCTTCCATCCACTGAACCAATCAGAAGCCAGCAGCTAGATTTTTCCAGGTCTCCCATGTGAGTGCAGGGGCCCAAGCACTTGGGCCACCTTCCACTGGTTTCCTAGGCCATTAGCAAGGATATGGATCAAAGTGAAGCAGCCGGAATTCAAACCAGTGGTCACATGGATGCTAGCATTGAAGGCAGTAGCGGCTTAACCTGCTCTGCCACAGTGCTGACCCCAATTTTGTTATTTTTTTTTTTTAATTTCTTCTCTTGGAAAAATGTACTCAACAAAAGCCATATCTGTCTGGCATACAGTGTGAAATTTCAGATATGGCTTTTGTTCTTGAGGATGATTAATTTTACTGAGGAAGAGGAGCAGGAAGAGGAAGGGGAGAAGAAGAGAGAGATTACACAAATTAGTTGATAAATTTTTAGAAAACAAATGAGGTGACATGGAGAGTGACTGGGGTGTCATATTATTTTGATGTTCAAGGAAGGCCTCTTTGTTGTAGAGATGAGAAATCTGAGACAAGAAGCCACGAAGAAATCTGGTATAGAAGAGAGCTGGGCAGCTGCAAAAGCCCTGGGCCTCAAATGAATTTAGCATTTTGTAGGGACTAAATGAATATTGATTTTTTTTTTTGACAGGCAGAGTTAGACAGTGAGAGAGAGAGAGAGAGAGACAGAGAGAAAGGTCTTCCTTTTCCATTGGTTCACCCCCCAAATGGCCTCTACGGCTGGCACACTGCGCTGATCCAAAGCCAGGAGCCAGGTGCTTCCTCCTGGTCTCCGATGTGGGTGCAGGGCCCAAGCACTTGGGCCATCCTCCACTGCCTTCCTGGGCCACAGCAGAGAGCTGGACTGGAAGAGGAGCAACCGGGACAGAACCGGCGCCCCAACTGGGACTAGAACCTGGAGTACCGGCACCGCAGGCGGAGGATTAGCCAAGTGAGCTGCGGCACCGGCCTGAATATTGATTATTAACACTGATGGTCTTGAGTATATATTTGGAAGTATAAAGACTTATAAGGCAAGGTCCCTGGCCTAAGAGCCCTGTAACAGCCAGCCATAAGCAAGAAGTTCACAATACAATATAGGGAAGTGTTGCAGAGACAGAGCAGATCCAAGGTAAGGACTAAGAGGAGTGACTATCTGGGGTGTGTTTCAGAGATGGTTTCATAAAGGAGGATAAAAGTAGGATTTTGAAATATTGGTAAGAATTGACAAAGTGTGGCATATAGTTGCGCCTGGGGAGCAAGATGTAGCCCTGTATACAGGCTGTGTTTCTTTTCTTTCTTTAAGATTATTTATTTATTTATTTAAGAGGTAGAGCCCCGGAGAGAGGGAGTGACAGAAAGGTCTTCTATCCACTGGTTCACTCCCCAAATGGCCGCAACGACCAGAGCTGGGCAGATCTGAAGCCAGGAGCTTCTTCCAGGTCTCCCATGTAGGTACAGGGGTCCAACCACCTGGGCCATCTTCCACTGCTATCCCAGGACATAGCAGAGAGCTGGATTGGAAGAAGAGCAGCTGGGCCACAAACTGGAGTCTATAGGGGATGCCAGTGCCGTTGGCGGAGGCTTAGCCTACTATATACCACAGTGCCAGCCCCAGGCTGTTTCTTAACTGCTGAGCACTACAAAAGGCAGTAGGTGAAGTGCCTGAGGGGCCTCCGAATCTGTGCATGATGGGAGTTATTAAAAGGCTCTGGGTTAAGGAACTACGCGGTTAGATTTGTTTTAGATGACTGTGCCTCTTAAACATGTCTGTGGCAGAATAAATTTAGGGCAGTTCTTGAGACAGCGAAAAAGATGAAGCTGCCAGTGCCATGGTGTAGTGGGTAAAGCCACCGCCTGCAGTGCTGGCATCCCATGTGGGCGCTGGTTTGAGTCCCAGCTGCTCCACTTCCGATCCAGCTCTCTGTGGCCTGGGAAAGCAGTGGAAGATGGCCCAAATTTTTGGGTCCCTGCACCCACAAGGGAGATCCAGAAGAAGCTCCTGCCTTAGGATCGGCCATTGTGGCCATCTGGGGAGTGAACCAGCAGATGGAAGACCTCTCTCTCCCTCTCTCAGCCTCTGTCTCTCTGTAACTCCGCCTTCCAAATAAATAAATCTTAAAAAAAAAAAAAAAAAAACAAAGTAAGGATAGAGGCAAAGAGATGACATCTGAGAGGTTTTAGGAGTTGACGAAATTTGAAGACTGGGATTGCTCTCTGTCGAGTCACCAACATCTTTCAGCACCAATAAGTACTCAGTTAAGTACTTGCGGAGGGAATGAATGAATGAAAAGGAACGAATGGTTGCTGGGTGTGGCAGCATGGTGTCTGCCAGACAAATCCAAGTCCTGCTCTCAAATATATGCTCGCTAACACAGCGAGCACCTGCGCCTCATTTTAGATGTGTTTTAATCCTAACAACCCTATGAAATGGCTATTATTTCCATTTTTTATTAGAAATTAGCAAAAAAAAAATCCTAAGAAGCAATATGTTGGAAGGTTCTAGACCTGGTCAGACACTAGACTCCAGAAGGTCTCCCAGCTAAACTACCGCGCATGCTTAAAAGTTGAGTCGTACGATAGAGCCTAGAGGCTAAGCCTCAAAACATTGAAAAACAAGAAAAGCTGGGAACTTGCAACAAGCGGACGAAGGTGCAGGGTTCCAGTCAGGCTGTGTCACAGGAAGATGAGCGAGGTGCGTCACAACAGCCTCAGCCTCGCTTCCACTCGCCTTCAGGGAGGGGGCGGGGCGGCCTCCTGGCCGGCGGCGGTCGCCGCGCAGCCGCAGTGCAGCTCGTCAGCGCCGCGGCTGGCGTGTGAAGCGAGGACGGACGGGCAGCGGAGGGCGGGGCAGGCAGACGCAGGCGCAGATGGCCACCCGGGCGCCACGCGCCTGTAGATGCTGCAGGGAGGCCTTGACGTGATTTCCTGCCGTGGGCCACTAGTGTTTCCGGGTCGCGGTCATTTTTGAGCCCTTGTCTTGGGGATTCGTGGGCGGCTGCGTCGCTGCCCACCCCTACCCCCGCAGCTCTCCTACTCGCTTTTCGCCCTCCCTACCCCTTTTTGGGTCCTCATCTGCCCCGGTCGCCCGGGCTCGCCTCGCAGTCGCCTGCCGCTGTCGTCGGGAGGTGGGTGAGGTGACGCAGAAAGTGCCATTTGCCCCCCTTCGTCTATGCTCTCCACCTTAGCGCGGCTATCCACTCGTTTGCACCTTCCGCCATTTTCCTCCTGCGGGGTGGACCGATCGCGCTTTGGGTCTCGGGCCTCCGAGTGCTGGTGCCTGGGCGAGCGAGGGGTTGTCCTTGGTGGGGTGTAGGGGAGAGAAGGTGGTGGTGACGTATGTGCGGGGGTGTTGTTCGGGAATGGCTGGTGGGACAGGGGTATAGTGTGGGTGGAGGATGGAGTACGGCGGGAGGCTGGCGAGCGTTCAATTCAGGTTTTTTGTTTATGGAATTAAGAGATTAAAGTGGTACTGTTTTAAGGGGCCTTGTCGGCCTTGACAATGCCCTTTTAGGGTTTCTAGAAGATACCGTTGTGGGAAGTGAGAGGGTTGCATTATTTCCTAGGAGGTTTTTAAGGTGTAAGTAGTTTGTTCAACAGGCTCCAGCCATGCACGAATTCATCCTGTTTTTATTTCTATTCTCTGTCTAAGGGGTTGTATAGTAGGCCCTCAGTGATGGTTTATGAAAAGGTCCAATTGCCAGACTTCTTCGTGTATGCCATTTCCTGTTTTTATGCAAATTGCCTTTAAAGTGAGAATAATCCGAAGCTTATGTTAGTTAACATTATATACACTAGTTACCTGGTCTGTTGGTCTGTTAAGCGCTGAGGGATGGGTTAAGAAAAACAGTAAGAATTGAGAAATAAAAATGTGTATTTTTGTAATGTACATTTCTTTCTCATATTCTATGTCATTTGAAGATTATCTGGGTGAGGGAGGAAAGTTTGAGGAATTTGCTGTTATCAACAAAGGAGAAGGTTATGACGTCTTTGTTATTCCGTTTTTTTTTTGAGTACTGCTTTGCGTGTGTCCAGATTGATGATTTCATTTTTTAAAATTGAAACCCAGGAATGATTTGAGGTTTTTAAGTCTTCTACTTTGGAGAACTATTTTAATCATTGTGTATCGACTTCTGAAAGGTTAAAAAGCTTCAGTAAGGGAAAATTTTTCAGTTGTTGAGGTGGTGTTTTGTATCATTATATTAAGCAGATGACAGATACTTAAAAAAGGCGAAAGATTTATTCATTCTGAAGAGAAACCAAAATAGATGACAAATACTTATAAAGCACCTCTTTTCAATTCAGGAACCTAACATTAATAATTAGTCCCAAATTTTTAGTAAGAATGTAACTTTTTCATGTAGCTGTTTTATTATATCAAGTTACTGTACTTAATGTTTGGTGTTTAGTAAATATTTGTTGGTTGCTTCTAATTTGTTGATAGTTTCTAATGCTTAATATAAATGTTTTTGATACAGGGAAGATGAACGGGAGGGCTGATTTTCGAGAGCCGAATGCAGAAGTTCCAAGACCAATTCCCCGTAACTATCTATTAAGTATTTATAAATAGAAGCACTTTCTATGTAAAGAAAATGCCACTTGAATAACAGTAGCAGCTGTGCTGGTCTTCATAGGTGTTTGATCTGTGCATTCACACAGGACCCCACACTTGGTTTAATGTTCTACAGTTGCCATCTGATACTTTTTTTTTTTTTTAAGATTTATTTATTTATTTATTTGAGAGGTAAAGTTACAAACAGAGAGAGGGAGAGACAGAGAGAAAGGTCTTCCATCTGCTGGTTCGCTCCCCAAGTGGCTGCAATGGCTGAAGCTGTGCCAATCTGGCACCAGGAGCTTCCCCCAGCTCTCCTGCAAGGGTTCGGGGCCAACTTCTGTTGCTTTCCCAGGCCATGGCAGAAAGTTGGATCTAAAGAGGAGCAGCCAGGACATGAACTGGCGCCACCATCTTCATATTCTTAGTAATCTGAGCAAGGGGTCTCACCTTTTCATTTTGTACTGAGTCTAGCATATTTTCTTTCTTTTTTTTTTTTTTGAAACAGTTACACAGAGAGAGGAGAGGCAGAGAGAGACACAGAGAGGTCTTCCATCTGATGGTTCACTCTCCAATTGGCCGCAACGGCCGGAACTGCGCTGATTAGGAGCCAGGAGCTTCTTCTGGGTCTCCCACTCGGGTGCAGGGGCCCAGGGATCCGGGCCTTCTTATGCTGCTTTCCCAGGACACAGCAGAGAGCTGGATTGGAAGTGGAGCAGCCAGGTCTTGAATCGGCACCCATATGGGCTGCAGGTGCTGCAGGCCAGGGCGTTAACCCGCTGTGCCACAGTGCCTGGTGCTAGCAAATTTTCTAGTAAGAGTTTTCTAGCCCAGAGTAGGATTAAATTCTGTTTGAAGTCCAATTTTGTGAAAAGTTTTCAAGCAACTGTTTCACTACTTCATTAAGAAAAAATACTGGTGTATTTTGTTAATATTTAGATAAAACTGAGTTGTTTTATGGGTATTTAAATATTTTCCAATTTGCTTTGGTAAAAGACATAGGGGCTGATTACATTCCAACAGAAGAAGAAAGAAGAGTCTTCGCAGAATGCAATGATGAAAGCTTCTGGTTCAGATGTGAGTTTAATTTTCTAATCAATATAATTTGGTACAAAATTAGTACCTGAAATTATGATTCCACATAGAATAAAATTAACACACTTGGCATAGTGTGGTTGTGAATAAAAGAGGCTGATTAAAGAAATAGAGGAATTGTACACATTTTAAAGTAATCCAGAGATTTTTTTCAAGGTTACGAGGTGCTTTTGTTGATTGAAACTGAGTGTACATGGATTATGTAAAACAACACAATAAAGTTGATAGCTATTATTCTCACTTTAACCATGAAGGAATTGAGGTTTGGAGATGTTAAATGACCTATTGCTATACCATGGGTACCTCATGTCAGGACTTGAAGATAGGTCTTTCTGAATCCAGAAGGTCATGATTCTAACTTTTTTGCATTTTTAAAATTTTTAAAATTTTTTTTATTTTTATTTTTTGACAGGCAGAGTTAGACAGCGAGAGAGACAGAGAGAAAGGTCTTCCTTTTCCATTGGTTCACCCCCAAAATGGCCACTACAGCTGGTGTGCTGCAGCCAGCACGCTGCGCGGATGGAACAGCCAGAGCTGGGCTGATTCTGAAGCCAGGAGCTTTTTTTTTTTTTTTTTTTTAATTTAACAGATAGAGTTAGACATTGAGAGAGAGAGAGAGAGAGGTCTTCCTTCCATTGGTTCACCCCCTAAATGGCCACCACTGCCGGAGCTACGCCGATCCAAAGCCGGGAGCCAGGTGCTTCCTCCTGGTCTCCCATGTGGGTGCAGGCGCCCAAGCACTTGGGCCATCCTCCACTGCCTTCCTGGGGCACAGCAGAGAGCTGGACTGGAAGAGGAGCAACCGGGACTAGAACCCAGTGCCCATATGGGATGCCGGCGCCGCAGGAGGAGGATTAACCAAGTGAGCCACGGCGCCGGCCCCAAAAGCTAGAAGCTTTTTATGGGTCTCCCACACAGGTGCAGGAGCCCAAACACTTGGGCCATCTTCTGCTTTCCCAGACTATAGAAGAGAGATTGGAAGCGGAGCAGCTGGGACATGAACTGGTGCCCATATGGGATGCTGGCACCGCAGGCGGAGGCTTAGGCTACTAAGCCACAGCACTGGCCCCATCCTTTTCCATTTTATCTATGGTTTAATTATGTTCTTTATGCTGGAAAGAATATAAGTAAGAAATAGATGATGGTGACTTCTCCAGTTTGAGCATAATTATTTTAGATGGATAGTTATTATGAAACAAGACCTTACAAAAATGTAGATGACTCATGATATGGGAATAATTAAAATTTTTTATGCACTTGAAAGGCAGAACAAACTGGTAGAGAGAGAGAATGAGAGCGAGCCAGCTTCCATCCACTGATTCACTCTCCAAATGTCTCCAATAGCTGGGGCTGGGCTAGGTACAAGTCAGGATCCTGGAATTCTACCTGGGTTTCCCATTGTGGTGGCAGAGCCCCAAGCACTTGAGCCATCATCTGCTGCTTCCCAGGATGCACTAGAAGGAAAGTGGAGCCAGAAGTAGAGTAACTGGACTTGAACTGACACTCTGATATGGGATGTAGGCATCCCAAGTGTCAGCTGTGCTTTGGGAACAGATTTTTTTTTTTTTTTTTTTTAAGTTAGGGAATTGTATTGAGTAAGCAAGATGAAATGATTTTCAAGTCTTGATGACTCAGGATCAAGAAAAAGACCAGTGTTCGGGCCAGCGTTTGGTAGTGGTTAAGATGCTACATCCCATATCAGAGTGCCTGGGTTCTTTCTGTTCCCGACTCTGGCTCCCAGTTCCAGCTTACTGCCAGCATGGACCCTGGAAGGCAAAAGTGATGGCTCAAGTAGTTGAGTTGGCTGTACCAGGTGGAAGGAAATTGTGTGATTATCAGAAGGACTGGTGTTCATGCATTAGGACATTTTGTACTTTAACATTTATATCTTCAAATAAGGTATTCTATGCAGAATGTGATATTTATGCATCTATATAAACAAATAATAGAATGCATGTTACTTTGGGAGAGTATCAGCTTGTGATTGTTGATTAGTGAAAGAATATGATGAAGGCAGTTAGGAACATATAGAAAAGTATGCACCTAATTTTAGCATGGGGGGATCTGTTAAATACATGTCATCTTTTTTCAAAATAAGATTTACTGACCTAGGAATTATTCTCTAAGGTAATTTCATTTCTACTCCGATATACTTTTGTTAAAGTACAGCTACAAATTCACTTTAAATTCTGTCACTATTCACTGACAAAAACCCAGTGTCTGTACTACACAGTAAAAGAATCTGTGTGTAAAGGGTCAGTTTATTGTATTTTGTGTTATTCTCACCCATGGACTTACTGAAAAGATGTGTGAATTCACATTTGTGTGAGTTACATATTATATGAATGATATTTCTTTTTTTTAAACTTTTATTTAATGAATATAAATTTCCAAAGTACAGCTTATGGATTACTATGAATGATATTTCTACCAGTGTATCCTGGTTTTTGAATGAGACAGTGTGATGAGTGATACAACCTTAGAATCTGGGACCCATCTTTCCATATTCAGATCAGTTCTACACATACTCCCTGTGGGTTTTTGGGCATTTTTGTTGTCTGTGTGTGTCAGTTTCCTTATCTGAAAAATGGAGACCATAGTTACCTGTCTCATGAAATTGTTAAGGGGGTAAGTTTAATTAATTAAATGCATGCTAGCTGCCTTTATTAAATGGCTATTAGTACTGTTATGATTAATGAAATAAAAGTTTCTGTTGAAAACTGATGAATTTAGAGTAAGATTTTGGTATTGTGAGATGAGAGAAGTTCAAGGAATTCTTTGTCTTTGGTTGTGGTTGGGACTATGATCAAAATACTAAATAGGTTTGGTAAGCAGTATTATCGATTCCAGAAATAGATAAATAACAGATTCTCACGTAAGAGTCACATAGTAGAAATGAAAATGGCCACTGACTTGGGAGTCAGGGGAGTTGGGTTCTGATCCTAGTTCTGTCACTAACCAGCTGTGTTTCTTTGAGCAAATCACATTTTCTTTCTGGATGTCAGTTTACTCTGATTAGGATAAGGAGTAGATAACCTCTGGTGTCCCTTTCACTTTTACCATTGTCTTTTTCTGTGACATCAGATAGAATACATGAATTAGAAAGAGATCTTAAGTCTAATCCATTAGCTCTTTATTGTATGAGAAAAAGTTAAGAGATACAAGCAGACACAGAGGGAATGCAGAATTAGTATTCACATCTCCTTAAAGTTACTGTTCCTCTTTGCATTAAATGGGAAACCATTCAATGTAGAGATGAAATTTTCAACATAAGAGATGCCAGGTAACTCATTGCTTTGAATCTTTACGTAATTCTTCAGTGCTTCACGTTGCAGTCCTTGAAACAACTGGAGGAGAAAAGTGATTGCAGATGGTATTGTTCCTGTATTTCAAAAGGATTTGTCCTTTGAAAATCCTTTAATGATAATACATGGAGGCATTCTAATGAACCAACATTAAAGAAATCATTTTGCTATCAAAGATAAAGTCTTTGATTTTGCTATCAAAGATAAAGTAGGTAGTAGGGATTCAAGCTTTAAAGGTTTATGTTTATGGATTTTAATCATGAAATCTCTAATAATTGAAATGTTTTAATTATTTTGGTTCTTAAATGGCCTGTATATTACACTAGAGTTGAACAAACTACAGCATATAGGCCAAATCTATTTTTGTGTGCATGAGCTAAGAATTGCTTTTACATTTTTTTTTTTTTAAGATTTTATTTATTTGAAAGGCAGAGTTACAGAGAGAGGAGGAGAGACAGAGAGATTCCACCCATTGTTTCACTCCCCAAAAGACTGCAATGGCTGGGGCTGGGCCAGGCTGAAACCAGGAGTCTAGAGCTGCTTCTTTCATGTCTCCCACATGGGCACACGGCCTCAAAGATTTGGGTCATTCTCTGCTGCTTTTCCAGGCACATTAGCAGGGAGCTGGATCAGAAGTGGAGCAGCTGGGTCTTGAACCAGTGCCCATATGGGATGCCGGTGTGTCAGACAGAGGCTTAACCTGCTACACTACAACACCAGCTCCTGTTTTTACATTTTTAAATGGCTGAAGCAAAGTCAAAGAGGAAGACAACTTTGTTACATGTGCAAATTGCAAGAAATTCATATATTTTATGTCTATAAATAAAGTTTTATTGAAACAGATATGTTTATTTATGTATTACCTCTGATGCTTTTGCTTTAAGATAGCAGCTGAGTAATTGGCACCAGGAGTGCCCCATAAAGTCAAAAATATTTGCCATTTGGGTTTTTTTTTTTTTTTGACAGGCAGAGTGGACAGTGAGAGAGAGAGACAGAGAGAAAGGTCTTCCTTTTTTTGCCGTTGGTTCACCCTCCAATGGCCGCCGCTGCAGCCGGCGCACCGCGCTGATCCTGGCAGGAGCCAGGAGCCAGGTGCTTTTCCTGGTCTCCCATGGGGTGCAGGGCCCAAGCACCTGGGCCATCCTCCACTGCACTCCCTGGCCATAGCAGAGAGCTGGCCTGGAAGAGGGGCGACCGGGACAGAATCCGGCGCCCCAACCGGGACTAGAACCCGGTGTGCCGGCGCCGCAAGGTGGAGGATTAGCCTATTGAGCCACGGCGCCGGCCCTGCCATTTGGGTTTTTTTGCAGAACATATTTGCTAACCTCTGATCTGGAACAGCACTGTCCAGTGTAGCAGCATCCAGTCATATGCACATATTTAAATTTAAAATAATTTACAGTGAAAGGATACGAAGCAAACTGAGCAAAAGAAAAGGCATGGGTGAAACTAGTCATGAAGTTCCAAGAGTCCCCTCTCAGTGGAGTCACACATGAAGGGTGTGTGTAATTTTTCCAGCAGCTGTTAGCAGCATGTGTCTGGTGTTATCTATCAGGGAAGCTCATTGGAGACTCAGAGCCCTGGGAACTGGTCACATGGGCACCCTCAACTTAGCTGGGCCAGAATTCCATACTCCATACTTAGGAAAGCAGGTACTCAGCACAAATTGTATTTTCACAGTTGAGGCACACAGTGGGCCACTTATTTAGATGAAGTTTTGTGAACTGTTTACCTGTCAGGTTCCCAGACCAAGTCACTTAACAAGGTTGATCAGCTGAGGACCAGCTCCTATCATCACAGAAATTGGGTTACACGTTGTTGTTGTAGTAGAAAACTGTTGATTCAGAGCTGTTTTTAAATTAGAAGCTCCTTTGAGATGTGATGAGAGCTTTGGATTTTTCACTCTGAGTTAGTAGGCATGTTTGAATGTATATATAGATGTCTATTTTCATAGGAGTTTTAAGGAGTCCACTGGCTTGGAAGAAAGAACATTAGTGTTTAAAATACATGCTTTTTAAATTCTTGACCCAGCCAGCTTATGATTATAGTCAAACATATTTTGTATTTTAATTCACACAGTTTAATGCAGTGTTTGAGATTTGGTGCTAGACAGATTTCATAAGAATCTGGGACTGCCATTGAAATTGCTGTGTGGTCTTGAGCAAATTACATAACTTCTAAGCTTCAGTTTCCTTATCTTCAATATTTTATCTACCTTTCTCTCTTATAAGATGTGGTAAGAAGCAAATGAGATAATGCAACCACGGCATTTCAAGTGGTAGATAGAATTCAGCCATTATTTTGGTAGTGATTCTTAATTTAAAATTTGCTGCTAGCTTTTCCTTCATTTATTTCTCTAACGTCAGAAGTAATTATTAGAAACTTCTACTGTGTTATCCTAATTGATGATATTAATGAATGGCTGACTGTTTTGAAGCCTAAATCTAGATGTTTTTTCAATTGCTTAATGTTTTGTAATATTTTCTTAAATTTAGAATGCTCCTTTAATTCTTCCACTAACTGAATACAGGACAGCTTTTCAAAAATGAAACAGTCTCTTAAAAATCTTAGTTGACAGATGATTTTACTGACACTTCTAGTGAACTGAGGACAAAAATCTTCCTTTGTTGTTGTTGACAAGTTCTTTTTCCTCTTACAGCTGTGCCTTTGGCTGCAACAAGTATGTTGATTACTCAAGGACTAATTAGTAAAGGTAAGTATTTAAATGTGGAATTTATTTAGCATTTTGGATACCATATTTGTTTTATGTTTTGCTAATTTTTAGATACAGCAAAGATGATAATGTATCATATTAAGCTTTATCATTGATGAGTTTTTATGATATTGAAGAGCTTTGTCTCTGAAGAGACACTGGTTCAATTACCTTGGTTTGAAAATATGTTTTTTTTGTGCTGTAGCCTTATTAACAACTTACAAGAGCAAGAAGGTAACCAAATGCCTGCCAGTGGTTTGTTGTGAGGTAGACAAGCAAACCTGGTGCTGGTAGGCCAACAGCTCCACTCTGACTTGGAGCTTACTAGAAAAACCATGTTCATGGGCTCTACTGAGCTACTGAGTCAGTCTCTGAGGTGGGCCCTTGAATCTGCAACTTACCAGACGTTATGGGGTTCTTAGATTCTGTTTCAACAAACAGTAGCTCCCTCAACCAAATTATCTTGTGGAGGGATGGCTGGGAATGAGTTAACATTAAAAAAAAAATTATATTCTTGGGGCTCTTGCAGGTAATAGAATTTTAACAAGCCTCTGAGGAGACTTTCTTGATCTAAATTCTATTGGTTTAAATAGTACAATGAAACTGAGTTTAGATTATTAATATATCTTAAAATTTGTGGTATAAGTGATAGAGTTGCTTATTACATTCTTAGTGAACTGCTTGGTAATGGGTAATGGGGAGGCATCCCAGAAGAGGTGGTGACCTTAGGGTGGCCTCCACACACTCTAAAAACCTATTCTTTTATTTAGGTAACTAGCTCCAAAAATGTGACTGTGATAGGAAGTTTTAGGCTATTGTCATTAGTACTATGGAGTACTTAGATGATAATCCAGACACAACAGGCTGCTAAAAGTAGTTTTGGAGGGAAATCAGAGGATTTTCAAATAAAATTTTATTTGAAGAATTTCCAAAGAACCTCATTTTAGAATTTTAATCGTAGAAACTAGTCAAGATACTCAGAGGTCTTATATGTCCTTTAAGACTAAGTTTGGTTCAGTATTGTGAAAAAGAAACTTATATCATATTACTTTGAAGGAAAAACTGGTGCAAGAGTTAGGAATGCAGAAATCATAGTGTGTATTATTGTTCTATCTGCTTTATCTATCTTAATCCAGTGTGTTACTTACTAATAATGATTGGAGCTAAGAATGGGAGGGCCTTATACAGAAGAAATTTAAGAGCTACCAGTAGTTCACTTGCGGGAAACAAATTGATGTGAACACATGCTAAAGCAAGTAGAAGACTAAAGATTTAATACACTATTGTATAGCAGAGGCTCTAAAAGTTGTAGTTCTTCCAAGAAGAAAAGATGTCTTAGGGCTGTTAGAATCAAGGACATTTTCTTGAAAGAAGTGAATTTTGAAGGACAGGCAGAATTTAGATTAAAAGAATAGGAAGAATTAGGAAGGAAGGACCTGGAGATTAAAAGAGTAAGTGTGACTATTGAGATGGGCAGTCAGGAGAGTGACCTGGCTAGAAGTAGAATCACGCAGGGTAGAGTGAAAACTCCATTACATAGCCAAGATGGAACCAGGAGAAATTGTAATTTGGATTAAGGTATGGAAGAAGGGAAAGTTTTTAGAGTTTTGGAGTTTAGATGGAGTCGAATACTTGAGACAACTTCAAAGTAAGACAAAAGTAAAGATTGGAAGAGGCTTTAATGCCTCAAGATATTTTGCATTTATTAAGGTGCCTGTCATTTTGTATATGCCCTCATCCACAGTGTATCATACTCAAGGTGGATTGGCTGCTGCCTCCCCTATTTGTTCCTGATTTATCAAAAACATTTAAACATGGTCACGTCTGTTCTGACTTGAGAACATACAAAGGAAAAAATACCTACTAGGCCTTTCTAACTGCTCCCAGCAGCCTCACAGCTGAAGCTAGACTTCATGAGTGAGCACTTTAAGCCATTGAAGTCCATATCAGATTATCCATGTATTCTTCCATTTATCAAAACTTTTTAAAAGGTTACCAACACAGCCTCTGTGTTGCTTAAGTTTGATGGATGGTTTTGTTCTTGACCAGCATCATGTATCTCTGAACTAGTTCTTGAAACATTTTTTTTCTCTTGGCTTCAGTGACAGCCCATTCATGAATTTTCTCCTACCTCAGACAACAACCCCATCTTTTCATATTTTTTAAAAATTTATTTTATTCATTTGAAAGGCAGAGTTAGATTTATCTTCCACCCTCTGGTTCATTCCCCAAATGGCTGCAACGAGCAGGGCTGGGCCAGACCAAAGCCAGGAGCCAGGAGCTTCTTCTGGGTCTCCCATGTGTGTACAGAGGCCCAAGGACTTGCACCACCCTCTGCTGATTTCCCAGGCACATTAGCAGGGAGGTGGATTGGAAGTGGAGCAGTCGGACTTGGGATGCAGGCATTGCAGGTGGTGTCTTAACTCAATAGCCCACAATACTAGCCCCTGAAGTGAACTTTCTAAGTGCACCCATTGTGAAAGTCTGTAGAATGTTTAGATTTTCTTTGTATTTCTGTTGACGCTGAATTTACTTGGTTTTCTCTTTTAAATAGTGTAGAGTCCTCTAGGGTCTGAAAAAGAGCTAATGTTACCAGGTAATGTTTAAAGATAGTCTGCACTGATTTTTCTTTTTCTATCAATGTTACTCAGAAATAACTGTTTCTTCTTTAGGAATCCTTTCAAGTCATCCCAAATATGGCTCCATCCCTAAACTTATATGTAAGTATGAACAACACTGTAGCTTCCTTAGTTCTTGATCGTAAAGAAAATTGATTTTTATCAAATGTTTTGCTGTAACTTATGTTAATTATATGATTATATGTTCTGATGATTCATTTAAAAAACTTAAGGCTTTTAGTGGAATTCAGGGTATTTTATTTTAGCATCAATAATCACGAGTTACTTGAAAGAGATCTGGTTTTTTTTTTTTTAAATAAGTTTTATTTATTTATTTGAAAGGCAGAGTGACGGAAGGACAGACTGACAGATCTTCCATCTGCTGGTTTAATCCCTAAATGACTGCAATAGCTGGGGCTGGGCCAGGCAAAATCCAGGAGCCTGGAACTCCATCTGAGTCCCACATTGGTGGCAGGGGCCCAAGCACTTAGACCATCTTATACTGCTTTCCAGGTGTACTAGCAGGGAGCTGGATCTGAAGTGGAGCAGCTGGGACACAAACTGGTGCTCATATAGGATGCTAGCATAGTAGGTGGCGGCTTACTGCTCTGCCACAATGCTAGCCGCTAAATTTCTTTTTTAAGGGAAAAAAAATGAGGCTTTTCACGAATCTTTTCAAGTTTACTTCTCTTGTGTTGGAAATGGGCTCATGATGGAATACTTGCATTGTTAGGTTACAAGTCACAATTCATTTTAACACATATTATGAAGCTGTTGTGCAAATATGATTCTCATCTACAGGAAAATAAATAACCTAAATCCCTGTGTTTAGGCTAGAACTCCAGTGTTTCCATTCTTCTTTCCATTATACCTTTACAACATTTTTCCTATCTGTATTAATTAGAAATTGGACTTGATTTTTCTTATAACAACTTTATTTTGGCTTATTCTATTTTGTCATAGTGAATTATATCCATAGGATCTTGAACTCTTGTGTCTAATGTGGTAATTTTATCATTAAATTAATTTTACCATTAAATCTGTCTTGTTGAATCAAAGACATATTTGAATCATACTTTTTAAAAAAGTTATTTTAGAAAAGATTTTGTCTAAAAACACATATTCAGTGACACTGTTTAATTTTTTTTAAGTTGCCTGTATCATGGGGTACTTTGCTGGAAAGCTTTCTTATGTGAAAACCTGCCAAGAGAAGTTCAAGAATCTGGAAAACTCCCCTCTTGGAGAAGCTTTACGATCAGGGCAAGCACGACGATCTTCACCAGCTGGGTAGGCTAAATTCTGGTCTGAAGGTTTTACTTTTAATTTTTTTTTTTTTTTTTTTTTTTTTTTTTTTTTGACAGGCAGAGCGGACAGTGAGAGAGACAGAGAGGAGAAAAGGTCTTCCTTTGCCGTTGGTTCACCCTCCAATGGCCGCCGCTGCAGCCGGCGCACCGCACTGATCTGATGGCAGGAGCCAGGATCCAGGTGCTTTTCCTGGTCTCCCATGGGGTGCAGGGCCCAAGCACCTGGGCCATCCTCCACTGCACTCCCTGGCCATAGCAGAGAGCTGGCCTGGAAGAGGGGCAACCGGGACAGAATCCGGCGCCCTGACCGGGACTAGAACCCGGTGTGCCGGCGCCGCAAGGTGGAGGATTAGCCTATTGAGCCACGGCGCCAGCTCTGAAGGTTTTACTTTTAGAGAAAAGCAACAACTGTGTATTGCTGTAATTCAGGGCACAAAACTGAAGTCCCCTTGAAAACTTAGCATTTGCTGGAGGCCAAAAGTAACTTGCTTTAGGAAGTGGAGCAGTACTTGGCTACCATTGTTTTAAAAATAGAGTTGTATCCAATTGAAAGTATTGACATATTCCAAAATTTAAGAATTTTTTTCATTGATTCTATTTGGCATACACCTTTGGTTGCTGTATTTTGGGCTTTTCTTTTGAATTCCCACATTTTGTCAATTCTATCTCATAATAAACTTTAACTCTTTGCGCTGTTTCTATTTAAAAGAGTAGAGAAATGAATTGAGCTGTTTGATATTCTTTGGCATAAAAGTACATTGATGTTTGTTTAGGCAATCGGGCTTCATTTAGAAATAATAGTTCTTCATTAAATAATTTCAAAAGCAAACTGGTACCTGAGTATATTTCTTACATAAATCGATACAGGTATTTTGGATAGTATTTTGTCAGCATACATTGGAATTGCTAACATTTAGAATTCTGAGTTTTTTTCCCAAAATTCTGTGAATCTGTAAAATGAAAAACAAAAACTATAAGCATAAAATTGTTTACGACTTCACTTTAAAGAGAAAAGATGGACCAAAGTTCATTTCCATTAGGGCAGAATGAATGTTCTATTAATGGGACCTTGTGAATTTACTTAAAAATATGACTATGAAATCTTTGAAGCAACATGATGAAATGCTTTTGATAAACTAAAAAGGATAGAATATAAAATTGTACAAAATAAAATTAACTGTATATACTTGTAAAAGTATTGGAGATCAGTGATGATAATAGCTGTGATTTATGGGCTTTCCTCCCATATTCCAACCTAAACAAAACACTTTTTTTCAGATATCAAAAATTTCTAGTTTCTTTTTTTTCAAAGATTTATTTATGGAGCCTGTGCTGTGGCACAGTGGGTTAAAGCCCTGGTCTGCAGTGCCGGCATCCCATATGGGCACCAGTTCTAGTCCCAGCTGCTCCTCTTCCAATCCAGTTCTGCTATGGCCTGGGATAGCAGTGGAAGATGGCCCAAGTACTTGGGCCCCTGCACCCACATGGGAGACCCAGAAGAAGCTCCTGGCTCCAGACTTCAGATCTGCTGACTGTTGCGGCCGTCTGGGGAGTGAACCAATGGATGGAAGACCTCTCCCTCTGACTCTGCCTCTCTGTAACTCTGACTTTCAAGTAAATAAATAAACCTTTTTTTTAAACCTTTTTTTGAAGAGGTTTATTTTATTTACTTGAAAGAGTTAGAGAGAGAAGGAGAGGCAGATAGAGAGAGAGAGAGGTACTCCATCTGCTGGTTCACTCTCCAGATGGCCGCAATGGCCGGAGCTGTGCCGATCCGAAGCCAGGAGTGAAGAGTTCTTTCAGGTCTCCCATGTGGGTTCAGGGGCCCAAGGACTCGGGCCATCCTTTACTGCTTACCCAGGCCATAGCAGAGAGCTGGATTGGAAGTGGAGCAGCCGGGACTCAAGCCAGTGCCTATATGGGATGCTGGCACTGCAGGCAGCAGCTTTACCTGCTATGTCACAGCACCACCCCCAGAAATTCTGATTTCTAAGTTTAGTAAATAAAGCCATGTTGAACATGTTAGTGATTTTAATTTAGACTATGGTTTGGTTTTTGTGTTATGTAAGTAGAGGTAAATTAATCTTTCTGGGTAGATAGAGTTAATAATAAGACAAGTAGATTGTTTCATATTTATATCATAAAATGGCACAATGTAAATCTCTTAAATAATATTACCTATATGTGCTGTAGCAGTTAGTGTTTATATGGACTCCTAGCTGTGGACATTGAAGCTGGACCTGATGTGAGGTATTTTTTTCTTTCTAGAAACTTTAAAACACATTAAAATAATCTCTAAAACCTAATATTTAGAAAATTAGATAAACATTTTCTATTTTTCTGTACGATAACATTTTTTAAGTTGTGTAGGTGGGTCAGTACGTTTTAAAGATGGCTCCTGTGGCAGAAACAGCCATCATTTCACTACTTAAAAATAACTATACTAAAAATTTTGTTTTAGAAGTGAGCTAACTTGTTTTCTTTCCTTAATAAGTCTTTAAATAAAGTTGAGACAATGACTCATGTTTCATGTACCATATGATTTTGTTTTATAGGCACTATTCTCAAAAGTCAAAGTATGACTCAAATGTGAGTGGTCAGTCATCTTTTGGGTCATCCCCAGCAGCAGACAACATAGAAAAAGAGATGCTTCCTCGTTATGAGCCAATTCCATTCAGTGCTTCTATGAATGAATCTACTCCCACTGGTATTACTGATCATATTGCCCAAGGTAGAAACTTCTCTTGAAATGAATTTCAGCATTTTATGGTCCAACGTATGTATAAACTTTATTTGATGACCTTTTCTGCTGGATATCATCTGTATGTGCCACCATCAGCCATCAACCTAAACTCCTCTGTCAGTCTAAACTCAGCATGTGTGTTTGTGTGTTTGTTCATTTTACTTGTTTCTTCCTTTCATTGATTCAACATTTCTTGAGAACCAGTAGGCTTCAGGCACTCTTGCTAGGTGTGGAAGAAGTAAAGATGGCTAACACTTAGTTATTGTCCCTTAGAAACTTTCAGTCTGTCAGAAGATATAGAAGTGAAAGGATAAATTACTAATATGTCCTCCTAATTGAAAATAATAACACAAGTTGAGTGGAATAGTTGAAGAAGTGGTAAATTGTGCTTTGGGAATAGAAGCTTCAAGAAGTCTTAAAACATTACATTTGACAGATTGATCTTAAAGGCTTTCAGTGTTCTTTTCAGTAATGTAAGAAAAATAATACTTACCTACCTTACAGAACTGTTGTCAAGTAAGAAAATCCATGTGAAAATGCTTTGTGAAGTTTTGTAAATACTAGCTTTGAAGATCGCACATGTAAGTGAAATAACATCAATTTTGGATTAAGGCCTGGATCTGAATCATGATTGACATTTGTTAGCTATGTGACATTGTAATTACAGTTACAATAAGTGACTGTATTTTACAGTCCCTTCAGTTGTGTTCTCTTGAATGGAAATGTAGTCTTTCAAAGAACCATTGGAATTAGACATAATAATCAGAGACAATGCCTGGCAAGAGATATACTCCAACAATGTTAGTTTCTTTCTTTCAATATGGTCTGCAGTGGAAGGTGAGGAATTAAAAAAACAGGAAGTACAGGTCTACAATTCCTTCTCTAAAATCTAAGAAACTTTGAAAACCAGAAGGTTTTTGAGGTTTGACTTGAAGTCATTTGGCAGCAAATGGTGACCTAAGTTGACATGTGTATATAACCATTACTTTTAACTAATAATGATGTTTTCCTGTATTTTGTTGTAGAAATACTAATATGTTTGCATATTCATTCCTACCCCAAACTGCTGAACCAATGGACATTATCTAATATAAGGAATGTTACACTAGAATATTTTTCTAAAATCTGAGAAACTCTGGATTTGTGAAACAAATCTGACTCCAGAGATTTTGGATAAGGGATTGTGAACCTCCGTAGAGCAGTCTTTGAAAACACTTACTTTGAAACAAATTTAATAAGCCAATAGCTGGAGAGCAAGTAAGGTTAAAGGAACATTTAGATTTTTATGGTTTTTGTTTGTTGGGTTTTTTTGGCCTTTTGTTTTAGATGGGAGAGATCTGAAAAATAGGGAGAAGTTGATTATAGGTCAAGGAATGTTCTAGAGATTTTGGAGCCTAGATAGGTCAGAATATGAAGTAGCAACTAGCCCTGTAACCATATATGGCTATTTACATTAATTGAAATAAAATGAAAAATTCAGTTTCTTATTTGCTTTGATTAGCATTTCAGCTGCTCAGTAGTGGCTGCAGTATAGAACGTTCTCATTGCAGAAAATTAATTTGGCGGCACTACTTTAGAGCAGAAGTTGGCCATAGGGGTGTTAACTTTGCAGCAGAGAAGGGACAAGAGAGAATGGAAATTCAGATGGTTAAGGAGACCCTGAAATCTGGTTGAAAGTTGTTGAATCTCTTAATCTGCAACTCCTTTTTAAATATTTTTCCTCTGAATGATTGAAAAGCAGAGGTATTATGAAATTAGTGAGAAAAGGAAGGAAGTTTGTAGATAGGAGAGACTGGTTGAAGTCACTATTTTATCTCTAAAGGGATCTATTCTTGTGCCTCACTGTGTCCCATTTTCTCAGTCTTAACTTCAAATCCATTCTTGTGTTCTAGACATGTACCAACTCTTTCCTTGTAATAACCTGCATTCTTTCTACCATTTGCATTAGAAAATTCCCTCATATAATTTCTTTTCCATATAAACAAAAGGCCCCTGGTTTCTCCTGCCAGACTACAGCAGCCATTTACAGCAGCCAGCCATCTGTCCTTTGCTCTGCTTCCTGGGGCCCTGCTCTAAATCATACTGTCACTTTTCAATGCTCCCCTCAAGGGCCAGCGCTGGCTTTCTTTGTTTTGTCCCAGATGCTGTCCTCCTTTACCAGGGTGCCATCTACTTTTGTTTAAGTCCACTTCCTCTCTTTAGTTCTGCTTTCTTTGACTAGAAATTCAAAGAATTATTAATGTTTTCAAAATAGAAAGCACTCCCTCATTGCTGTTATAAGACTTACAGTTTATTACAGTTGGATTTAAAATCAATACTTTTGCATTTTCTTATTCCTTCCAGCTCTTCATAACCTCTAAGTAGTAAATCATGTTCTCTGTACAATGCAAGATATTTACATTCAGCTTTTATAAGTGAGAAAAATTGTTCTGATGTATGGCTTTATTATTTGACACAGAATTTCAGAGTGATAAATTATTTTCCTTTGGGATAAGAAAAAATATTAGACCTGGAAGGAATTTTATAGATTGTCTTTAGTCAGACTACATTTGAGCAACCAAGGCTCGAAGCTTAGTGATTTGCCCAAGGACGTCCACTGATTGTGCACAGAGTGCTGTGGGGATTAGGATGGAGGCTTCCTGAAGTGTACCCTGGCTCCTGCTGAATTTTAAAAATACCATGTATGCTGAGGGGAAATCCAGCAGATCACCTATTACTAATGAAATGCAGAATGCCTTAAACCCAATAGAAAGCTGTAATCTTTCTCTTTACATTCTTTTTCTTTAGCCAGAAAAATTTAGTCTTTTACCATGGTATAATATTAGAACTAATCAGTAGAAATTTATGTCCTCTTGGCTTTGTATCAGTGCTGTATATGTTACTTACAGTTCTTTTTAAATTGTTACAATTAATGTGTTATTAAAATGATATGCCCAATTTGTGTGTCTCATTAAAAAATGTTAACTTTGAGTATCACATGTAAGACTTTGTTAATGTTAGCATTAGTTAAATTTCTTTGTTTTATATGGATTTTTTTTCTGTTTTTACATTAGACAAATTGTGTTCTCTATTTGATTCTCTCAACCAATATTCAGATTATAGCCACATCATTATTTTTAGTTGAGTATTTGACTCTTAATATCATGTGTTCTCAGTGTTTTGGCTAAGATCAAGTGTGAAGATATGTATTGTTTGCAATTTGATTCTCTTTATGAGCGATAAAGAATGAATGCTTGTTTCCTGGCCAAATATAGTTGCCACATTTTTTTGGGAATTTCTGGATTATTATTCTACTTACTATATCTTTTTTTCTTTTATTTCTTTTTTATTGGACAGCAGAGTGACAGTGAGAGAGAGAGACAGAGAGAAGTCTTCTTTGCCGTTGTCACCCTCCATGGCCGCCGCGGCCCAGCGCGCTGCGGCCAGCGCACCGCGCTGATCCGATGGCAGGAGCCAGGAGCCAGGTGCTTTTCCTGGTCTCCCATGGGGTGCAGGGCCCAAGCACCCTGAGCCATCCTCCACTGCACTCCTGGCCACAGCAGAGGGCTGGCCTGGAAGAGGGGCAACCGGGACAGAATCCGGAGCCCCGGCCGGGACTAGAACCCGGTGTGCCGGCGCCGCTAGGCGGAGGATTAGCCTAGTGAGCCGCGGCGCCGGCCAATTATTCTACTTATTTTTATTGTTGGCACTTTCTTCTGCCTCAGTATTGCATCCAGTAGACCAGACTAAAAATGATGCATACTCTATTAAAAGGCTATGTTTTATACTTTTCAGTAGGTACTTTCAAATATTTTTTGTTTAAATACCGTAAATATGGTAAGATAAGTAATTTAAACATAGCTGGAGTTGTTTGCATATCAACTCTGGTTATAGGCACATTTAACTATGGAAAATTACTAAATATTGCTAAATAAAATCTATACTGTGTCAAGTTTTATTTGCTTGTTACCAGTATAAATTGCTCTTTATTTCCATACATAGTATGAATAACTTTTCAGTTTAACACACTAACATTTTAGTCAGCTTTATTTGTACTGTTAAATTTTTTGGTATCCATTCTTTATCTGGTCATGTTTAGTTTTGAAAGTTTTTTATGTTGATTTTAAATTTTAGAAATAAAAGTTGAAAAATATAGTGCAAATAGATTTTAGCTTTATAGTTACCTTGGTTAAGTACTTTTTGAATGCTAATAATTTGATTCTTTCATTTCATTATCCTATTTTGATTGTAGTAAGAAACATTTGCAAAATTTAGTTGCCACGGATTTGTCCAAATTTTTTTTATCACCGTTTATTAACTGTTTGTTGTTTTAGGACCTGATCCCATCCTTGAAGAAAGTCCCAAAAGAAAAAGTATTACATATGAGGAATTAAGGAATAAGAACAGAGAGTCATATGAAGTAACTTTAAGCCAAAAGGCTGAGCCCTCAGTCAGGCCTCTGCAGGACAGAGTGCCAAAAAAAGAAGGTAGGAGAGTTCAGTCTGAATCACTCTCTCTCTAGGATTGAAAATGGAAGCATTAGTATAAAACTGAATCATATTAAGATGCAGTCAAGCAATTAAGGATACAGTTCTTTGGCAGATAACCCATTTGTCCATTTTTAAAGTGTTCCAAAAGCCATTTTATGTTAGAAAATAATGAAGTACAGATGTTAAGACAGTGAGATAGCTTTTGTAATACAGTGTAGGAATCACACACCCATTTGACTATTTTTCCCCATAAGTTACCTGGGAACTTTTCTTCTTAATGGTACATGTATTATGTAACCAGAACTGGTGACTTGAGGTTGATAATTGAGCTGTAACGCCACTTTAGGCAGAACCACGGAATCTGTGAGTAACGAGGATGATTTTCTTGTATATTTGTGAAATTGAAAGAGTTACATACCTTTCACAAACCAGCTTTTAGGGAATTTTCAAGAGAATTTGATATTTTTATCTTTTTTATTTTTTACTTTTAAAAAATTATTTATTGGAAAGGCAGAGTTAGAGAAAGAATAGTGAGAGAGAGAGATCTTCCATTTGCTGGTTCACTCCCCAAATAGCCACAATGACTGGAGTTGGACCAGGATGAAGCCAGGAGCCTGGAACTCTCTCTGGACCTCCCTCATGGGTTCAGGGGCCCAAGGACTTGAGCCATCTTCTGCTGCTTTTTCCAGACCATTAACAGGGAGTTGGATGGAAAGTGGAGCAGCTGGGATTCCAGCCATCGCTCGTTTGGGATGCTGGTGTTGCAGGCAGCGGCTTAACCTTCTGTGCCATAACACTGGCCCTTGATTTTATTTTTCAGACAGTACTTTATAATTGTAAAATTTTTTTAGAGGCAGAGATTTTTGATCCACTAGTTCACGCCACAAATGGCTACAATGGCTGGAGCTGTGCCCATCCAAAGTCAGGAGCCAGAAGCCTCTTCTGGGTCACCCATACGGGTATATAGTGCCCCAAGGACTTGGGCCATCTTCTGCTTTCCCAGGCCATAGCAGAGAGCTGGGTCTGAAATGGAGTAGCTGAGTCTCGAACTGGAGCCCATACAGGATACTGGCACTGCAGGTGGCAGCTTTATATTCTATGCCACAACACTGTCCTCTATAATTGTAAATTTTTAAGTCAAAATTTCTTTCTTAATTTTCTCTTAAATCTAATTTTTTTTTTTTTTTTTTTTTTTTTTTTTTTTTTTGACAGGCAGAGTGGACAGTGAGAGAGACAGAGAGAAAGGTCTTCCTTTGCCGTTGGTTCACCCTCCAATGGCCGCCGCTGCAGCCGGCGCACCGCGCTGATCCTGGCAGGAGCCAGGAGCCAGGTGCTTTTCCTGGTCTCCCATGGGGTGCAGGGCCCAAGCACCTGGGCCATCCTCCACTGCACTCCCTGGCCATAGCAGAGAGCTGGCCTGGAAGAGGGGCAACCGGGACAGAATCCGGCGCCCCAACCGGGACTAGAACCCGGTGTGCCGGCGCCGCAAGGTGGAGGATTAGCCTATTGAGCCACGGCGCCGGCTCTCTTAAATCTAATTTAAAATCTTTTAATTTTCTTTCTTTGGGAACATGTTTAAATTACCCCCAAGTGAATTTTCTGACACAGAAATTTACCTTTAAATGAAAATGGCATTTTGAGTGGGGGTTTGTATTTATTTCAGTGTAGAATTTCTTGTTTCTTTCTTAAGGAATTTTGGAGAATATGTCATTGTTTCAGTGTTTTCTGTTTCCTGCTTTAAAAACGAAGGGAAGGAATAGATGCTTGTGCCTTCCTGAAAATTGTTAGTGGTTGCTTCATTTAGAATCGTTTCTAAAGCAGTGATAAATAATATTGAGTTATTGCTGATTTAAAAAAAATTAGCATTGAAAGAGATTTGTAATCTGTAATGCTTGTTGCTTTGTTAATGTTTGTCATTAAAAAACATTTAACATACACTTTATGCCTTACTCTTGTAATATGGAATAAAATTTATTGGTACTTTGTTCTGCTAATTAATTTGAGGCATTTAGATTGTAAGCTCCATGAGAGCAGGAAGTAGGTTTTTTTTTTTTTTTTTTTTTGGTAGTTTTTAAAAAACTGTATGTCACTACAGCATAGTAGCAACCACTGACATATTAGAAATGGAGTGTTTTGGTTGGGCTTCCATAGTAATAAAAGTTAAAAGAGAAGGAAGTATGGCAGACCATTAGCATTTGCTAGATTTTGACATTTGTGGCTTTGACTGGTCTTTAAATTCTGTTACATGATACAGTGATGTAAAATTGTAGACTTTAATCCTTGTAAAAGAAAGCTGATTTTCTTGGTGTGCTTTACATAATTTAAAGAAAAGAGACCTGTTACGAAATAGTTTCAGTGATTTTTCTAGAATGTTCTTGAATCTAGACAGTAAATTTGACATTGTCCAGTCTAAATTCACAGGATCTGAAAGTATGGAATTGTTCAACTTCAGCTTATGTGGCTTATATGTATCTAAATAGAAATTAAGACTGAGAAATTTTAGAAACAGGGACATATTATATTAGCTGTCTGAACTGTGTTACTACATACCATTTAGTCTCTAGAAAACCGCTGTATACTCATGAAGGAATGAGAACAAGGGGAAATGTGGAATATGTGGGAATGTCATATAGTATATACTTTGGACTTCATGCGTTTCCTGTAAGGGATTACACTGTGATAACTGCTTCTTTACCTTTTCATGATTGCTTGGGTCTTGAACAGTTATTCACAGATTGAGGTTATGGAGAAGAGAAACTAAAAAGTGTAAGAGTAGAAAAGACAGGACCATGTTATAAAATTTAATTGCATGTAAAATGCAGGAATATTGGAAACTGTCTTTTTCTTGTAATATTTCAGCTCATGAGAGATTGAATTAACCACAGCCTGAAGATTTGGACATTTCTGTTACTGTGATTTTTGTGAAAAACAAAATTTAATTGTTTGTGTATTTCCTGGTACTTTTTTGTACCTGCTGTAATATATTCCACAGTTAATAATGTGGTTTAAGTCATAAAGATACCTAGGCTTTGTATCTAAACCGACCTGTGATCAAAATTTTAGTTCTGCTTGGTGAGGCTTGTACCTTGGGCAAGTTACTAATCTATTTTCTTACTCTTAAGATGGGGACTGTTTTTACTGAGTCCTTAGGAGGATCAGTTATTTCTGTAAGGTTTTGATAGAGTACAGTTACAGGTGTGTCCCACCCCCAGTTCACACTAGCCAGCTCCTGCTGTAATTTGACTTATCATGTGCTTTTATTCAGATGAAAAATACAACTTTTCATTGTTGTAACAGTGAACACTATCTTATTACTATTTGGAATCATCAATTATTTGTGCTTTTTTCCTAGTCAAAGTAAACAAATATGGAGATACTTGGGATGAGTGAAAAATTCCACCACTGGACCTACTGAAGGAGTTTCAATATCCAGCTTCATCTAGGAAGTCATGAATGCCTGCATGCTTTGAGCTCAGCAGCAGTCTTCATAAACACATGTGAAAACGAAATCTGGGGTTTGTGTGGTTTGATTTACTGTGTTACAAAACAGTGTGTAAATGTACTCACCTTGCGGGGAATCATGTGAATGCTGGTGTTAAACCAGGATTGCACAAGGGATCTTCACAAAGTTCGTGGAAAATGAGTATGTGGAAAAACTGCATGGATTTCAAATATCCTTTTGCACCAAAATAAGCTGATCTTGAGTTTCGTTTTCTATGAACTTTTTGAGGTTCCCTTGCATACAGTTTGTGAAACCATTTTTAAGCTACAGGACAGTGATACTCCTAAACAATCAAGAGACTGTCTTGCTCTAGAATCAGCATATCTGAAAATAAATATCTGCATGTTGAATTGGGGTGGGCGGGGGCAGTAGACTGAAGCTTTACATTAAATAATTAAAAGTGTTTCTTCAGTATTTGCCGTTTTATCCTTATGGTAAATAAAATGTCAAGGAACATGCAACAGCTCTCATCTTTATTGATTTAATGGTTTTATTTCAATTTGGTAAATTTTTAAGTACAGTTATAAGTAGTGTTTTATAGGGATGGGTTATATATTTGATAATGCTAATGTGACTCATGTAGAAAAACTGATGTATAGTAAGTAGCTAAATGCCTTTAAAAGGCAAGTGGTCATGTTCCAAAAGTTTGCAAATTACAGGGGAGTAAAAATGTATTGTGCTTCATTATTTATTGAATGTTAGTTGCTGGTTTAGAGATGTGATTGTGGTTTCATTCACATTCTACTTAAGTCACATTTCTACCAGAATACATGTTTCAGTTAGCTACTGCTGCAGATCATCCCAGAACATAGTGACTTTTTTTAAAAGATTTATTTATTTGAAAGAGTTACACAGAGGAGAGGCAGAGAGAGAGAAGGAAGTCCTCCATTCAATGGTTCACTTCCCAATTGGCCACAACAGCCAGAGCTGTGCCGATCTGAAGCCAGGAGCCTCTCCAGGTCTCCCATGCGGGTGCAGGGCCCCAAGGACTTGGGCCATCTTCTACTGCTTTCCTCAGGCTATATCAGGGAGCTGGTTGGAAAGAGGGGCAGCCGGGACTAGAACTAGCGCCCATATGGGAAGCCGGCGCTTCAGGCCAGGGCATTAACTCGCTGCGCCACAGCGCCAGCCTTGAGCACAGTGTCTTAACACAGCAGTCATCTGTTAGCTTTCAGTTTTCAGTGCGTGAGGAATTACAGGTTCAGCTGAGAGCTTTGGCTCTGGGTGTCTCAGGATTGCAGTCAGGTGCTGAAAGCAGTGATAGAGCAGCTGCACCTTGGCTAGGACATTGTCTGCATTTATTGAAGGACTTGCCAGGTCTCCGGGTTGCTTTGGAGTTCTCACAGCATGGTGTGCTCAGGGCAGTCATACTCCGATGGCTCCTAGGGCTACTGTGTGAGTTTCCAGCAAGCTTGTCAAGAAATGCATCGCCTTTTATGCATGACCTAGCCTCATACGTCAGCATAGCGTTATTTCTGCACAGCCCTTCCTCTTGGAGGGTGGGGCTGTAGACTTCCCATCTGGCCACATTTTAAAAAGAACACATGACGTGGCTCACTAGGCTAATCCTCTGCCTAGCAGCGCCGGCACACCGGGTTCTAGTCCCGGTTGGGGCGCCGGATTCTGTCCCGGTTGCCCCTCTTCCAGGCCAGCTCTCTGCTGTGGCCCGGGAGTGCAGTGGAGGATGGCCCAGGTGCTTGGGCCCTGCACCCGCATGGGAGACCAGGAAAAGCACCTGGCTCCTGGCTCCTGCCATCGGATCAGCGCGGTGCGCCGGCCGCAGCACGCCGGCCGCGGCGGCCATTGGAGGGTGAACCAACGGCAAAAGGAAGACCTTTCTCTCTGTCTCTCTCTCTCACTGTCCACTCTGCCTGTCAAAAAAAAAAAAAAAAAAAAACACATGGCGTGTTTGGTGCTGGGGTTAAGTCGCTGCTTAGGAACTCTGCATCCCATATTGAGTGTCTGGGTTCAAGACTTGGCTTTGGACTCCATTTCAGCTTCCTGCTAATATGCACCCTGGGAGACACCAGATGGCTTCCTGGCTTTGGCCTGGCTCAGCCCTGGCTGTTGCTGGCATTTGGGGAGTGAACCAACAGATGGAAAATCTCTCCCTCTCCTCCTCTCTAGTGTCTCATTTGGGAAGTGAACCAATAGATGTTAGATGTTTGTGGCTTTCAAATAAATAGAAATTTTAAATATACAGAAAGAACAGCAAATTAATTTTAAGTCGCTCATGTGAAAAAGCCTAGCATAGGCCAAAAGTGGACTCAACACTTCTAGACTGCATTAGTAGTCATAGTAATAGCTGATACCCATTGAGTTAGTGGTGCACTGTTTTTTAAGTATTCTGTACTCATGAGCTCATTTAAACAACTGATCATTTTACATATGGAGAAACAGGCTCACGCATATATCACAGCCCACAGCAGAAAAGCAGCAGGTAACTAGGAAGAAGTAGAGCCTGGATTTGAAGCACAAGAACTAATGCAAGCAGTTCTAGTGTGTGAAATGAAAAGTAATCCTGGTTTCCTCTGAACTGGCCAGTCCATTTCTGGAGTTTGTGTGTGAAGACTGCAGCCACAAAGGGTGTCCCAAGACCAGTTTGTGACAAGTGTGGATACCCACCCCTCATGGTTGAAAGCACTGGGACACTTTACCCAGAATTCTGAAAGAGAAACATGGTGTCCGGTATATAAAGGCTGTCACGTGGAAGAATGAGAGTTACGGAGCTGTGTTCAGCGTGTGGGGCATACTGGTGAGGGATGGGCTCTGGCTGGGGCATCTCCACCCCTGTGGCTTCACTGATCACAGCCCACGCTTCATTTCCCTCCAGCTGGAGACTCATCTCTGCAGCACCTCCAACCTGCATTTCCACTTGGTGCTGTCATGGCAGCTTTCTACAGTGGCTCCACCTCTTCTGCAGGTCTGTGCCTGGACGCACACCCTGCCCCCCAGGACTCCCTTGGAGTCTCAGTGGAGGCCTCTGGACCAACACAGCTCTGTTGGTCTCTGTCATTGCTGCCTTCTGAGCCTGTGTGCAGATGTTTGAGGCTACACACAACTGTCTGCATCTTTCCAAGGCAGAGGTCTCCCACTGCCGGTCACTTAGCAGCCTGTGGGCTCAACATCAGCTTCCCTCCACAGCTCCACTAGGCACTGTCCCGTCAGGAGCTCCATGAGGGGGTTCCAGCCCACAACACAACTATGCCTGGCCTCCACACTTTCCTTTGAAATCTTGATAGAAGCAGCTAAGACGCATAACTATTGCATTCTAAGTGCTTGGAAAACTAGCATCAGAGTGACACCAAGATTGCCGCTGGGAGGCCTGTGTTTGGGCCTGCTGGGATGACGGCTGCAGGCCCTGTGGGCTTGCTGCAGGGGGGTCTTGGGCAAGCTCTCTGCCCTTCCAGGCTTCTGGGCCTGTGATGGGATCGT